GGCGATTGAGCAGAGGGAACTTGATTGTGTCAACGCCTACTGTGACACGCGGTTTTTAATGTCCTTTCTTAAAGGCCTGTAACTTTTATTCCAAAGTGCCGAGCGCTTGGTAAAGAAGTAGTTGCTACCCATATTTTGTCGACTTGAGTCTGTCCTTATCGGGGTTATATGAGTATTTAACCAAATTATTTTTAAGTGAATATTTAACGTTGACCATAGTATATAAAGAACATTATCAAAGTTTAAATAGATTTTCAGGGGACGTAAATGAAAACACAAAAAATATTCTTTTTAAACAACCTCGTTTTTAAATCAACTTTAGAACTTGATGTAGTTAAGCAAAAGAGTTATCTATTATGCTCGACTTTAATTTTTCTGTGCAGGTAATGCAAGAACTGAAGGAAGAAATAGAGAACTATAGACCACTAGAGCAGCTGAAGTTACGTCAGACAAAAGCCCTCCTGATTGGTCAGATAGGGGCGGGAAAGTCCAGTTTCTTTAATACAGTGAACTCCATCTTCCGCGGTTACGTGACCAGCCAGGCGTGTAGTGGAACGGCTGACCACAGTCTCACCACACAAGTATTTGATTGTTTTACAAAAGTGATTTTAAAAAATCCAAAGCACGGCAATATGAATTGAACTTTTTTCACTACATTATTATGTTTATATATATGGAATCAATAAGTACTTTGCATATGAAACACAGTTTTAGATTACCCCTAGATTTTAAAGCAATTTTTTCAATAAATAAAATAACACGTGAACGGAAAAAACAAGTTTTACTTCCTGTAATGATGATATTGATAGTCCAACGTATGGCATATATATAAACAGAAACAGGTTGCCTTAAATTCCATTCTTTAAATTTTCTTAAGTCAAAAACAAGGTCAAATCACAACAAATATAAAGTTGCTTTTTTGGACAGAAAATGGGCTTTGACTGACCACGTGTTGCTGCTGACTACAAATGCCGTACTTGGAAACAACCATTCAATGTGATTGGTCAGTATTATCAGGCTATTGTTGTAATCTTTCATATGCAAATTATTTATTTTTTCCAATCGATTATTGATAACCAGCACACAAAATTTTAGCACGCCCCATCAAGCAAACTGCCACGCTGTTTGTAAAACAATAATAAGTCTGATTCCTTTGATTTGCAAAAGTGATGAAATAAACCCAAAAAACATGGCAATATGAATTGAACTTTTTTCACTACATTATTATCATTTATATATAGGCTGAATCTGAAAAGAGATTTATTTGCAGTTTATAGACAGTTTTAGATTTAGATTTTAAAGCAACTTTTTCATAACTCAATAAAAGCAGAAACTGGAAAAAACAAGATGTGCTTGTAAAACACTAGTACTGATGTCCCCGTATGGCATCTTATAACGAAGGTTGAAGTTTCTATAATGCAAGTCAAACTACAAGGTCATGGTCAAAAGATAAAAGTTGTTGGTACAGACATTACGGACGTAAAACAATATATAGCAACCCATGGACATTATAGGGGCATAAAAATCTTTATAAAACGTCAACATTTATTTTTAAAATATTATTTCTGTTTGTTAAAAAATAAGCGTGTTTCAAACTGATCGATACAAGCTGCTCAACGCAGGTGTGACCAGTTAAAAGGGGGATGTTTACTCCTCCCGGGCACCTGATCCCACGTTTGGAATTTCAATGTTATACCCTATATAGCTCTTCACATATTTGGATTGTTTATATATTTCTATTTTCAATTAATGTGAGATATTTTTTTCAGTTTCGGGCTTATCAAGTGAGAAATGGCCCTTCTGATAAACCTCTCAACTTCCGGTTATGCGACTCACGTGGCTTGGAAGAAGGACAGGGGATCGAAACGAAGGAAATGTGCTATCTGTTGGATGGTCACGTGCCAGAAAAATACGTTGTAAGGGTCTTTATTAAAAAATGAAAAAGACAAATAACGGTGGAATATTACAGTGCCGTATATTCTGTCTTTTGATCATTAATTTATACATATATTTCTGATATCAAAAATTCAAGCATCAAAACTTTATGATGTAGTTTAACCCGTCGGTTCCGCTGACCCCAGACACCCCAGGGTTCATCAAGGCCCCAAAACTGAAGGATCAGATGCACTGTGTGGCCTTTGTGGTTGACGCGTCCACAGTCGATGTCATGTCAGATAAAATGCTTGAAAAAATTAGAAAATTTCAAACACACATGAATCAAAGAGGTATGTCAAAACCCGAGTTTTGGAAAAAAAATTGTTGAAGTTTTGTCAGTGTCTAACAACGAATAAACTTAGTGAGAGAATATTACAGTTGTACATAAAGCTATTTGAAAATTCGAAGATCATGATAAGTAGGTGGACCCGATGGGAAAGTGTGATCTACAAACATTACACATGTAACATGCAACACTGATTTCAAACTGAGTACAGAACCAAGTTAAATACATTGTCACATAGCCCCAAATGCTTCACAAAAATATTCACCTTAAAAATGGACCATACTATCTAGTATCTGTTTAGATATATATGCATTTTTGAATATTTTCATAACTTATTAAAGTTTATGAAAATAACAGACGTTAGACCTAGGTAAAAGTCATTTTTGCTAGAAACATATGACAAGTGCTTAGGATACATAATTTTTTATATACTTTATATAGGTACATAAGCATGATTAGACAAAATCGCTGGTGTATATAGTTACAGATATAAATACATGTATTGAGGTGTTTACCGCCTGTTATTGTTTGGAATAATTATTCTACTTTAAAGGCATCCCTCAGGTTGTATTACTCACAAAGATTGACAAAGTTTGTGAGCCCCTGCAGCGTGACGTTGGATTGACGTATTTCGTTCCCGCTATTCAGGAGCACGTGGATAGGGTGGCGATGATGATTGGTTTACCGAGATCTCACGTGATTCCCGTCAAGAACTACGAGAGTGAACAAGATCTTGACACCAATGTGAATATTCTGACACTGTTAGCCATGCGGCAGATTCTCCGTTTTGCTGACGATTTCTTGTATAACTACTTGGACGATTTGGACCCCGAGATATTAAACACAACAGATTAGACATTTCATAAATTAACTGACATTTTATTGTCAGAAGACATTTTTCATAATATATCCATGTTTCTGCAAGAATTAAATTATTTGATTTTTTGTTCGGTATTTTTTTTTTACAGGACTAAATTTCAATCTTTATTTCAATTACATAGCAGTATTAATTTACATATTAATATTAATAAAACTAGTTTTAGATATTTCGACGTCGTATTGTCAATAAACAATCTATACCCATTCTATATCCATATGAGCTTAAAATTGAAGATACCACGGAGTCTGGTACATCTGTCTCATATTTGGATATTTTACTAGAAAAAGACGTTAATGATAATCTAACAACCAAGCTCTATGATAAACATGATGACTAACTTTTCAATCGTCAACTTCCCTTACTACCTTCATCACCTGCATACGGAGTTTATGTCTCAGTTGATTCGATACACAAGAGCATGATCTATGTATCAATTATTTCTAAAACGAGGTAAGTTATTGACAAACAAGTTGCTGACACAAGAAAATCAGTAGTCTCGTTTAAGGAGGATCTCTACACATACATGTATGAAATATAATTGATTTTTGGTGCATACATTTGTTTATTATATAGTAGACACAACTATCCAATAAAATAAGTTTGATGCTTCGAAGACAATTAGTACATGAAATATTTAAATTCAACCATAAAATTTCAAAAGTAGGTCACAGTGACCTACTTTTTATTTTATACTGTAAAGATCTAAGATAAGAAATAGGTCATCATGGCCTCCAAGGCACCAAAATGCATTATACCATCTTTATAATGTTTCCTTGCTCTCACCAGTGTAAAATTTTTAGGTCAGTAGGTAGGTGAAAAATGTTTTTTCCAGAAAATTTCGAGATATTTGTTGACAGGATAAGAGGAATAAAAAAATGTGTTGCCTCCTGGAATTAAAAAAAATTTGATTCGGGCCTATATTTCAGTTGGACGGTTGGGCAGCGAAACAAAGATGACCTAACTTAATAAACAAATTTTGATGATTCTATAAATGGAAGCATAGAAATAAATATAATTTTATTTTATGTAAAATAGATTGAATAAGATGTTTCATTGAATAAATCATGCAAATTAATGCGCATAAATTATTTTGTGACTTTTTGAACTAAAAGAGTATCACATCTGGTGTATTAAAAATGTGAATATAAAATATTTTTTTTTATCAAACTCTTAATGACTTAAATTAGTGCTGATCAGTTTGAACTTCCGTGTAGTTAAAAATTATAAAAGAAAAAAGTTGGCTCGATGATATTGGTCAAAATAAGTGATTCACAGGCAGAAAAGTGTAATTTTTTCTTGATTTTTAAAACTATATATTTCATTTCTTGGTAAAGTCTTAAGTGAATGTGTAAATTAACTAAATTTTATTCTAAAAACATACATTGATACCTAAATTTGATATTCCGAGCAGATAGTAGTGATAAATATTCTCTGAGTAGAAAATAATGTGTGGATTAAATTCAAAGATATTTAAAATGCATATGTGTAGATTTGAAAAATTCCCTTCTAAATATCCTTTCACAATAAAACAAACGTAATCAGAGATTACAGAGCTCACCTCAATGAATGTTGTCTTTAAGTAAGGCAAAGTCACACAAGTAACCAACAAAAAGTGAACATCCAAAAATGCAAAATTTATGCAAATTTGATATGATACTTTGAAATAGACCTATATAATAATATAAAAACTAGTTCTTCATCATAAAAACATAATTAAAATCCAGCATCTGAAGCAACTTTGAGAGTTTTCATCCCTTGATGCATCATTTGAGCAAGTTTGGTTTATAGAGTCCTAATAGTTTCTTGGTGATAGACCTGCACCCATAACTTTTATCTGGTTCATTATCTGGAAAATGTATGTTGCATTCAGCATCTGAAGCAAGTCCATTGGTGTGCATCCTAAGATGTATCATCCATGCAAGTTTGCTATACATAGGGCTCATTAACTTACTTGGAAATGAAACCTGCATAAACCAGAAGTCTCTAATGAGATTATAGCTCTGCACCTAAAACAACTTTTGAAACTTTGCACCAGGCAGCAATAAATAGAATTAACTCAATAAAGTACATGTATCTTAGTGTAGTCTACCTGTGTGCCAAGTTATATTGAAATCAGACAAAAACTGTAGGAGGAGGAGCGTTTTAAAGGAATTTTACAGAAATTTCTATTTTTAATAATCATGGCAATACCGTTCATCGAAATCAAATACCGATGCATTAAATTATGTATCTTAGTGTAGTCTACTTGTGTGCCAAGTTATTTAGAAATCAGACCAAAACTGTAGGAGGAGTAGCATTTTAAAGGAATTTTACAGATATTTCTATTTTTAGTAATCATGGCAACACCGTTCATAGAAATCAAATACATTAATATTATCTATCAAATACATTAATATTATGTATCTTAGAGTAGTCTATTTGTGCGCAAAGTGATATTGAAATCAGACCAAAATTGTAGGAGGAGTGGCGTTTTAAAAAAAAATTCACAGAATTTTTTATTTTTAGTAACCATAGCAACGCTGTTCATCAAAATCAAAAACCGATGCACTACATTATCTATCTTAGTGTAGTCTACTTGTGTACCAAGTTATAGTGAAATCAGACCAAACCTGAAGGAGGAGTAGCATTTTGAAAAATTATGTACAGCTAGACGGACAGACAGCTACGGACAGCTATATAGTCGGGCGGACGACGGACACCTTACTAGCGCATAATCTCTTCTGGTCTCTGACCAGTATAATAGAGCTAAAAACTAACCTTTTCACTATTCAAGAAAATGTAGGTCAGATTCAGCATCCGAAACTAGCCTGGTAGAATGCATTCTTAGATGTATCATCTATGCAAGTTTGGTCATTATAGTGCTCATAGTTACTTGGAAATGAGACCTGCACCAAACATTAACCTTTTCACTCATGCAGAAAATGTAGGTCAGATTCAGCATCCGAAGCAAGCCTGGTAATGTGCATGCTTAGATGTATCATTCATGCAAGTTTGGTCAAAATAAGGCTTATATTTACTTGGAAATGAGACAGGTCTACACCAAAAACTGCACCAAAAATGTTAACCTGCTCCAAAAACATTAACCTGGTCATTCCTTTGCTGAAATTGCAGCACCTGAAACTTTGAATGGTACAATGAAACACACTCCGTTGAGATGAGCTAAAAATAGTCCTCCAGAAATCTTGTTTCTTTATCACTTTGTGAAAAATTTTTAAACTGAATATTGTATAATGTTTATTTCAACAAATGTTACTAAAATTTGCTAAAGGAATGATTTTTTTAAGGATGGTACCGATTTGATAATTTTGATTTGATAACCAGTACAAAATGTTATATAACTATGATTTGGGGCCTGGGCCCCGGGACACAACCTTTTCATGAACTGTCCATGTTTATGAATAAAGATTTTATTGACTGATGTAATGAATATTTGATACTAGTATCTACTCAGTTCAACTCAGTCCAATTGGGCCTTATCACACAGATGATCAATTCAATGGTTACGATAAGTGTATTTCTGACTCAGCAATTTACATGAGTTAAAAATCAAATATTTTAAATATCAATCAAAGCTCTGAATCCTGATCCAGGTGGTAGGGGTAAAATATCCTTAAAAATTACCAAGAACACATCAGATCACATAGGGGACATGAGTCTCACTATATTTAGATCAACTGTTTGAGGACAATTCAATATTTTGCAGGTCTAATAAAAATTATTTTTCATAGAAATTTAATAGCATCATTTGTTTAATTTCCATGTCAAAAAATACTGATATGAAGTAATTAACATATTTCTTTTTAAGGTATCAAAGCAGATTGGTTTGCATGAAATATTGCATCCAATATGCATCCAGTGAAAGTACTCCATGTAATAATGTCATATTTCTAAAATATAACATAACCGGCTCAGGTGGGTACTCTTTGTAAAGTTTTGAAAACTAAGAATCATGAAATTTTTTTTTCAGTTTAAGTTAATGCAGTTAGTGGCTCAGTGCTATTAAGCAGGCAATCCATCAGTTAATGTTACTTCATAAATTTGGATACAATATTGAATTTTCAATGTCTTGTGATATTTATGAGTTCATGGTTTATGGATTATCTTAGCTTTGTGCAATATGAATTCTTCAAGCTGAAGAAGCTTTAGACACTTTGTGTTTTGGGTCTTGAACAATAAGAACAGAAAGAATGATAAACTTTTCTTTGTTTAATGAGCTGAACAATTTAAAAAGAAAGCACATTAAATGTATAACATCATGTATTAAAACATAAACAAAAATAAATAACATAAATAAGATTTAAAAAAACAAAACAAAAAAAATTCTGAGAAAGTTTGACTTTCTGCCAAGCAAACAATCCATGTACGGACAAGTGTATCGACTTCTGAGTACTTGTCTACTCAACTTTATCAAATCTCGTAATAACATCTTTAGTCATCTCCTCTTAATATAAGAGTGCTCATCAGATTAAAAAGGAATATTACAGGGACAGAAAAAAACTGACTAGAGTCGTAATCAATGAGGTTAGAATTGGTAGAAGATGTGTACAGATATATAATGATGTCATACTCATTAGGGGTAGCCCAATAAAAACAGGTTCTTCTTTCCTACACATTGATGTTAATGATTTCCAATAAAAAATATATTGCACACTATGTAGTAAAATTGAGAAGACCTAATTAAATAACCCAATAGGCATCTAATTCTTGAGAATACAATAAAAATATGGGCAAGGGCATTTCATATAAATACAGTTCTAGTCAATAAGTGTGAACATTTTTTTAGCTTAACTAAAAAGGATTGGCAAACCAAAATTTAAAAATATATATATCATTTGCATGAGAGGGATTTTCAAATTAATCTGTTAGAAATATACTGAAGCACACACACTATATATAAGTATTTTGTAAACACTTATGTACCTGTAAATCATTAAGCTTAATTAATAAAAGGATCAAATAAAAACTTACTCCATGCAAAGACTTGCAAAATTGCCCATTTTAAAAATACAAATTGATGTAAAAAATATTTGTCTGGATATTTTTAAATTAAAATAACATATTATCTGCCAATAAGTG